ACGCTAAATAAATAAAATAATTTATATTAGTTTGTGTATGTAATACTCATATATAATATATGTGTATTACATAATATGTCATATGTAATATATTTTTCATTACATGTTTTATCGAATTATTATATATTCCATTGTATTATATTCTACTACATTTATTATATTATATATTATTATATTATATAATTATATTATATAATATTATTATATTATATATTAATTATATTATACTATAATGCACCGTAAATTCTACTCTATTGCATTGTATTGTACTGTATTGTATTGTATTACAATATATTGTGTTAAAGCACATTATCTTGTAATTATGTTGTAGTATGACATAATCTATCTAATTTGTAAAAGAAATAAATATAATATTAAAATGTAGCATCTATAATATAATATCTAGCATAATAGTATAATATTAAAATATATCGTTTAAATCTTTTTCCCGCAATATATTCTTGCAAAAGTCCGTTCAGCCTGAAAAAAGCTTTGGGCCGTCTGATTTATTATTGACTTCTACTACTTGAAAGCAATTTTTCGTTTTAAAAAGGGTACAAGTCAGAAATAACTCAGACGGCCAAAAAAGATTCCCTGAACAAGTAGTAGAGAACAAGAACAAATCAATGACAAATCAACGGTTAAAATTTTTTCCCAAAGCAAATAATACAAGTCAACGGCAGATTAAACGCGGTCGTAAATTTTCTCGGATAAGTGATATAAATCAACGACAAGTCAGACGGTTGAAAATTTCCAAATTGTGAGCACTGATCGGTGAGAACTGACGACAAAACATGTGAATTTTTATTTGTACAATAAAAAAATATCTACTGAGCTATATATTACAATTTATAATACGTTATAATATTACAATATATTATTACATATCGCAGTAGTTTACAGTTATCGATATCTATATTATGCAACAATGCAATATTGAATTATATATAACGATAGCATGAAGTTAATAAGCGCAAATGTTTACATCGCATTTTGTTCATTGAGTTATGTATTAAAACATAATTACAGTACTAACGTCTACACGAGACTAATGCAATATTGAATTATATATTGCGATTATATATAACCAAATAAACACAGCGCGCACATTACATATGGTTTATTTTGAGTTGTATATTACGGTATATTATTACAACGCAGAACAATACAATTACAATCAAGCGGCACGATGACGTCACGGTGTCAAGTACAAATTTGAATGACGCATTGTTGACAGGTTGTATGCGACTATATATACACAATACACAAATACGACTTTCTATTTGTATTTATATATTATTTACATTTTCCGCCGTCACTTCTCACGTAACGGCCTGTTTCTGTGCAGAACGCATAATGAAGTGGAACAATCCGTGACAATATTAACGAATATCCCCGGGTAAAAAAAGTGTATAAATAACATTCAAGTAAAATAAACATTTTATACGAAACGCATCGAAATAATGAAAATACATAGAAAGTGGCATATTTTCTTTTTTCCCTTTTTTTATATATTGCTGTACGTTCGAAATAATCCACATTTAATTGGTAAAATACAGAAATACGGAAAGTAACGCTTGATCGATCAATCTTGCTGGGAAAGTAGAAGAAATTGACACATGAGACGGAAAATAAATATCGGTCATAAAACTAAATCTAGCGAAATAAATCATGTACAATCATTTGTCATACGAAGTCATTTAATATGCATGTCAACAGTGTCCAATTATACTGCGACCGTATTTATTATTTACGACGGCGAAATGTCACGATCGCGGGACGCGCTCACGCAGAGGGAGACAGAGAGGGGGGGGGCGGCGGGAGGGAAAGGGGGGAAGTTGGGCTTTTATAGAATTTATATCAAACGATGGAGTTGCTCGGTACGAGTCTCCGAAACTTTCTTATCGCGTAAAATCTTCATTGCGCAGGATGCGCAGGACTCATCGAGGGACGCTTGTTCTACGAGATCACCTTGGCCATGAGAACAAACATCGAGATTCTATTGGTGCGGAACGTACCGATCGCTCTTGCAAACTCTCCTCCACCACGACTGACGGCGAAAAGTTACCCACCTTAACAATTGCGACTTCCCGTCGCTCGTCGAAGTACGTGTTTTATTCATAGCGATAATCGCGCAGCCGCTCACGACAAATTGCGATAGATCACCGTCGCGACGACGAATGATTCGAATCCGCCGAGCAGAGCCGAGAACGCAAAGCTCGTGCGGGAAAGCGCGAAAGGAAGAAGGCCGGCGGTGCTGCGGCGTTAATTACGCTGCGCGGCGTTCTTAAGTGTCACCATTTAGCCCGGGATTAATCTGTCACGCGGCTAGCGTGAAAAACTATCCGTTTAAAAGGCCGATTCTCATGGCAGACCGTTTGATTGGCAGCTTTCAAGGCAGGAGAGAGAGAGAGAGAGAGAGAGAGAGAAAGAGAGAGAGAGAGAGTGAGGGAGGGAGAGAGAGAGAGAGAGAGAGAGAGAGAGAGAGAGAGAGAGAGAGAGAGAGAGAGAGAGAGAGAGAGAGAGCGAGGGAGAGGGAGAGAGGAAGAAAGAAGGAAACGAGGAAAAGGAGATAGAGTCCCTCTCGCGTTCGCACTTATAAAGCCTCTTCGCTCGCGCGTATATACGACTCGAAAGTGGCGCGAGAAGAGAGGGAACGAGACACGAGAGACGAGAGCGCAGGGTGGCGGAGGAAGACTTTATTTTCGGTAGTCTGATGACGTTCAGCAGCTCGCGCGAGCGAAGAGGAGCGCGTCCTAGCGCGGAGGAAGAGTAGATGAAGACGACGTCGTAAAAGAAGAAGACGGAGAAGAGTCCGAGGAGGAGGAGGAGGAGGAGGAGGAGGAGGAGGAGGAGGAAGAAGGAGAAGGAGGAAAAGGAGAAAAAGAAGGAGGAGGAGATGAAGAAGAGAAGAAGAAGAAGAGAGCACCGCCGAACACAATTTAAAAGATGACGAACAGCCGTACAAGCAAAGGGGGTACGACCGAACGCGAGAGAGATAAAGAACGTTGTCTCTCGCAGAAAAGCGAACAGCCGCGAGACGAAGAACGGAAAGGGAGAAGATAACGCGGAAGAAATAGAGAGGAATATTAGATGAACGGGGAATGAGAGAGCGGCTGAGAGAGAGAGAGAGGGGGGGGCGAGGGAAGGGGGAAGCAGGATAACTTGCGAGACGGAAGGAGCGACAGAACGACAGAGACGAAGCGTGAGAGCAAAAGCGATGTGGATAGATGGAGAGAGAGAGAGAGAGAGAGGGGGGGAGAGAGAGAGAGAGAGAGAGAGAGAGAGAGAGAGAAAAGAGTGAGCATGAAAGCATGAGAAGGACGGCAGGGGCGGGGGGCCGCGAGGATCACGCGTGCGGTTCCTTCGGTTGTTAGGTCGTTGTTATACAGGTTCTTAAAGGTCCCGTCGTCGCTTCGTTTCTCCGTCTCGCTCTCGCACCGCCGCGGTGCGCGCGCAGAGCCTCGACCGGCGTCCGCCAGACGCCGCTGGCGCTGTGGCCGGCCTCGGTCTGTGCGAGCGGGCCGCTCAGTCTAATTTGAACCGTCGCGCGCGCCCGACGCGGGGCCACCGACGATCTCTCTCCCTTCCTCCGGCTCTCGCGACACGTGTGACACGCGAGGCGCCTCGTGTGCATGCCGCGTGCGACACACGCGACCCGATCCCCTGTCCATATCTCGTCCGGAGCCGCGCGACCATCTCTACGCGAGGAAGCGGTTCGTGTGAGATAGTGAGAGAAAGAGAGAGAGAGAGAGAGAGAGAGAGAGAGAGAAAGGGAGAGAAAGAGAGAAAAGAAGAGAAGGCAAAGGAGGGAAACAGGGGAAGCGAGAAACAGGAGGCAAAAGAGAGGGGCAGGCGAAAGAGGGAGAGAGAGAGAGAGAGAGAGGGAGAGAGAGAAAAGGAAAAGGGAGAGTGAAGATATACAAAACGAGCAAGAAGCGCGTGATAACGCGCGCGCGGCTGATAACTTTCTCTCGACCGCGCTCTTCGTCCGTCGTTCAACTTCCAATTCCTCCTTCCACGACCTGCCCTCCTCCGTCAGGGACCAGCGAGGGTGGCCTGCTCGAGAAGCGGAACTGTGCACGACATTGCGTACGCGAGGCAGAGAGAGAGAGAGAGAGAGAGAGAGGGAGAGTAGTAAGCTGCGGCCGAAGAGAGTGAAGTGCGCGCGCGAGAGGGCGGGCGGCCGCACAGCCTCGCGGGTATATTTAAATAGTGTCTCGGCTGGTCAGAGGAAGCCGACGCTTTCTTCGTCGTCGCCGTCATCGTCGTCGTCGTCGTCGTCGTCGTCGTCGCCGTCGCCGCTGCCGCCGCCGCCGCCGCTGCCGCCGCCGCCGACGCCGTCGCTGCCGTCCTCGTATTCCTGTTCTCGTCTCCGACGTCGCGACGCCTGACTCAACCCGCGTCCGCCTCTCCCGCTGTTCCCGCTCCGAAGCTTGCAACGCGACACCGAGTCTCGGACAGCGCGAGGGGATAGCGAGGCGGACCGCCCGCGGAATTCCGCTCGCCTCGATGTTGCTGACGGTCCGTCGAGGACCGGCGTTCGTGGGTGTTGCTTCGCGCGAGTTCGCTCATCGTTTCGACCTGCCTGTGGACGCGGACGAGCACGTGCGCTGCTAGAGGACTACCGCTCGTCGTTGGACTGGCTCGCGGTCTTCGGGACCGCGTTCGGGAGGATCGTGACAGAGGACGGTGTCGAGCAGCTGTCGTTTCCGATCGGATCTCAGGATGATGGTGCCGATTGCGCGTCATAATGATCAGGACTTCTAAGAGCTCCGTGCCAGTCGTCGCGATCGTCACAGCCGCCGGTCGGGGTCACCTGCGATAATAAAGGATCTCCCGCCCGAGGAGAAGCGAGGAACAACAGCAGGACAGACAGATAGACAGACAGAGACAGACAGAGAGAGACAGAGAGAGAGACAGAGAGAGACAGAGAGAGACAGAGAGAGACAGAGAGAGAGAGACAGAGAGGGAGGAATACAGCAGACAAAGTGCGTGTGTGTGTGTGCGCGAGTGAGACAGAGGGGAAAGAGAGAGAGAGAGAGAGAGAGAGAGAGCGAAGCGGCCGCATGCCGCGACACGTCGCTGTTACCTGTGCCGGCTCCGCCGAGGATGAAGAGCACGGCGTCGCGTAGAATGAAGACCGACGTGGAAGAAGCCCCGACGCTCCACTACCAGTGGTACAACACCTCGTGAGAGACGTCCGAGCCAGAAGAGAGACTTCCGAGGCAGAAGAGAGAGCCGACCGACGGCGCGCGCGCTGAGTCGATTCGGCGAGCGGGACGGCGAGACGCGCGGCTCGCGCGCGACAGTAAGCGGATAATCGCGCGCGCGGAAGGGCACGACGACGACGACGGGGAGGAGGCGAGTCCCGAAGAGAGAGAGAGAGAGAGAGAGAGAGAGCAGCGCGACTGCTTAACATAGGACTCGCGATAGCAGCAGCGGTGAAGGGGCTCGCTGCGAGCTCGTGGGAGCCGAGGAGGGGGCGAGGAGCGTGTGTGCCTCTCTGTGTGCGAATCGGGGTGACCGAGGTGTCGACCTCACCCCCGATCACACCATCAACCAGGTTGGATGATGTGGGCGCCTCTGCTTTTGGCCGGCTTCTTCAGCGGCTGGTGCGGCGCACTGGCGCTCGCTGCGGCACCCCCTGCCGTTCGGGACACCCCGGGAGATACGACGGCGACGGCGACGGCGACGGCGACGACGAGCATCGCCACGAGGTATTACCTTCGGCCGCCACCGGTGAGCCTGCTGGACGAGACGGTGCGCAAGGTCGTCCCGGGCTACCACACGCGACAGCTCCCCGTGTACTCCTGGTACTCCGAGACTCGATACTCCGCGCGTGACCGTGACCTTGACAAGGTCCCGTCGGCCGACGGGAGCCAGCAGCCGTCGAAGGAGAGAGAACGCCCGCCGGAGAATGTCAGAGCCGCGCTGCTGCAGAGCTCGCGTCGCTCGAGCGCGAGCAGCCACGGGGAGGTGCTATCCTCTTCGTCCGACGGGGGGGACCTCGGAGCCGGGTCTCGTGGAGTGCCCCTGAGAAAGCACGCTGACGCTTTTCACCCAAAGACGGACGAGTCCGTGCTGACTCGCGCACCTCGCCACTCCTCGAGCCAGACGCCCTTCGCGTATCCGCCGACGGCGACGGCGACGGCGACGGCGACGGCGATGGCGACGGCGACGGCGACGGCGACGGCGACTGAGTCGTCGATGACGGCGCGCTCGCGGCTCGCCCGCTCGGCGAAGCAACGACCAAAGAACCGCACGAGGGTGGACTCGCCGCGCGAGCAGCGGCGCCGCTGCAGGAACAAGGAGCGCTGCCGCGGGCAGAATTGGTGTCCCGACGTCGACGTGGGCAATCGCGCCTACCTGGCGCCCACCGTGTTCGAGGCTAAGGCGCGCAGCATGTCCTCCCCGAGGAAGCCCGGCTCGAACTACGCGGTGACCTTCGAGGTGAAGCAGGTCTACAAGAGCCAGTCGGGTTTCCAGCCGCTGCAGAAGAACGACAGCGTGCGGCTTCATTTTCGCGACAAATCGGCGCCCGGCAAGTCCACCGCAACGTGCAGCGGCCACGAGGCTGCTGGCGCCGCTGGCAAGGGCAATAAGCAGAAGCAGCAGCAGCAGCAGCAGCAGCAGCAGCAGCAGCAACAGCAGCGCGATAATTCGAGTGATGTGGTGCGAGCCAATATTAAAAGGGGCAAAGTGTATCTAGTGTTTGTGGATCGCGTGGGACCCAGGAACTTCACGATTCTCGGCGAGCCGGTAATCCGCAGCAAGAAGAACGAACAGGCCGTCCAGGCTGTCGTTCGGCCGGATTACGGTGAGTCTCAGGAATTATGCAAAGTCCGCGGCGCGGCGCGCCGCCGCGCCGCGCCGCGCGCGTGCGAGGGCGCGACGACGACGCCCTCGACCCTCGCCGGCGCGATTAAGCTAGCTGCTAGCTAGCTGTTGGCGTACATACGTCGAGCGGCGGAATCAAGCGGGTCGATAGTCGTAACGAAACTCGCCCAAGTCACGAGCGAGTCGCATGCTGAGACTACGAGACGCGAGCACCCGGCGAGTCTCTCCGGGATATAGGGTCATCCTTAAGGTCCTGGCGATTAACGCGAGCTCCCGTTATCAATTATCTGCCAAAACGGGAGGACCTACCTACGGTATCAGGCATTAGCCCGCTGCTGATGTCCCGACTGATGTCAGAGTTGAGATCCTGTCCTGGAGACTCTTCTGATTATTTTACTTCAGCCCTTTTCGCGATTAGCCTGGGAATTAGTCAGATTCTGATCCCGCCGCCTCTTATCGCCGATAAGCAGCCGCGACAATGAACCATCGTACTTGGCTGCAACTAGCGCTGCTCTTATGTGACTCTCCGAGTCACGAGAGCAGACTTCTACATGTCCCGATAAGACGCTTCAGCTGACGCTTGAGGCTCCTCCCGTGGGTATTCCCCGGCTGTGACGTGTGGTCTGTACTTTTTAGCTGCACTACTGAACTGGTGCGATAAGTTAAAGTGAGAAAAAAATACCGTTCGTTGTCTCGTTCTAACTTATTGCACTAGTTCCGCGGTGCAGCTGGAAAGAACCAAGATCCAATTATCTTGAGACACCGATACATTTCGTAGTTTCTCTCATGGAACCGAGCACGTTTCCGAGGCGACCCCTAAGCGTAGCATGAAATCTCGGAATCTCGCGAAAGAATATCGCTCGGCGGTCTGGAACGCCGCCGACGGCGGCGCGAGAGGAACGTGTCCCGTCAATGGGGCGACGATGAGAGGTTACTTGGTCTTGGCGAGTGGGGGTTCTCGTGGAGCGATAGTTGACACAGCTGGAACACTCTCGCGGACTCCGCGAGTACATTCGGCCGAGGCGGAACAATTGACGCCCTCCGCGCGGCGGCGACGAGGCTCCCCCCGTGGCCAGGAACGGCCGAGAGAGATCGCGCCTGTGGAATTTCTCAGTTGCTTCGCCACGGCAATCGTACCGCTCGCAGGATGACAGCTCCGATCGATGTGATGACTCGAGGGCACGATCGAGAGCTCGATGCACTCCGTCGAATGGCTGGTGGATAGTTTCTTTTTTCTTTTTTTTAACCTCCTCTGCTCGATACGCGCCGATGTAGAATTCTCGATCAGCTTCGGGATATGGCGCGGCAATATCGTTAATACGAGAGGAACGCTCCAATAGGCGTTTACATATTTCCCTTTCGCTATATAGCCTCGGCAATATAGCGGCTAACTTATGTAAACGCGCGTGAATATTTTAATTCGCGCGTGATATAGCGGCCGGCCGGCCGCGATGTACAGATAAATTTGGCGAGTTTAAACTCGCGAGTAACTTTTATCAATTTGTAAAATCTGTTTTAACTATTAATTGAAACACACTCGGCCTCGGCGGAAGAATTCCGCGGCGGAATCCAGCGGGTTTCGTTAATTTTAATTCGAATCGTTTTCGCCCCCCCCCCCCCCGCATAAATGTAATATAAATTCATAATCTTCGCGGCGGACCCTTCCCCCCTCCCCCTCCCCCTCCTTAGGTGTTTCCTAATTTTCGCTCGTCGCGCCAAGCGGTATTTACGGTTCGGTGTAATTTTCATCGGAGTGCTGCGTGTGGAACTTGCCCGCTACTTGCGATATCTCACGATATCGCTGGATATCGTTGCTAAAGTCCTAGCGCTAATCAATTAATTTGCGCGCCACAGTCGTCGTTATTGCGCGATACAAATCGGTCTGGATGCCAACCGCGAGTTTACGTGCGCACGCTGAAGAACCAAACGCGCTGCGAATCCAAATGAACGCTGCTCTCGTTTGGAGTATTTCACGAGTTTGAACATCAGCGAGTCTGTTTCGTCATACATAAGCGGCGCGTTAAAATATGTCAGGTGTTTGCTTCAAGTTCGTCGGATCGCAAATAAGTGGAAGTTACCGCAAGTTGACAATATTTTACTTCTCTTTTTTACGAAGCTTTGTAGATCGAAGAAGTGGTGCTTACTCACGACCTTCAAATTTATCTGTGGCATCTTAAGTGACAACATAACCTCACTTTTATTACAGATAAAAATGGCACCCGATAAGGTGCATCTACGCCGCGTTTTTGTTTTAATTAAAAAAAAAAAAAAAAAGCTACCGCGGAAACAAAATGCACACTCACCAGACTTGCCCCATCTGATTTTCATTTGTTCAGATCGATGCTCAGCACGGTTTGCCGAGGTGTTCTGAAAATCGGTCCATAATTTCATTGCCTCAGAAAGGAGTGTCGTTCCTTAGAAATGGGATCAGACAATTACACCTGAGAAGATGTAGAGAGTGACTGTAGCTGCTTTGATTAAAATGAAAATATATTTAAAAATCCGACAAACTTCTGCAAGCGCCTATACTCAAAAAAAGTATTCTATTTGTCAAGTGAATTTTCCCATAGTCTCATATTCTAAGTGAAGCCTTTTACAGAAAGAGAATTCCTCTTTCGATAAAGCGATTAGAGTGAACCATTCATCTAAATTTATTAGATATTATTCCAACTGTTGTCCTCTTGGTTCAAGAGGATTTCCTCTTATGTCAATTAATTTTCCTCTTACACGAAGAGGAACATGTTGACTCGAATGTCGCCTTTCTTTGTCCAATCATGTTCTACCTCCAGACATGAACGAAAAAATAACCATATGCTCATGGGTCAGAATATTTGGAACGCTTTTTAAAAAAGATATGCGTTGCTGTAACATGTAACGAAGATAATTTACATACATTTGATCAAATATTTGTTCTAAAATTACCTTTTTCTAGGTATAATATTCTGAATCTAAGCAAGTTTGATACTTTAACCAAGAATATCAAACGAAGACGGAGATATTGAATCGAAAGGAAAATACAATTTGCTTCGTACTCACAGAAAAGGAGAAATTCTTAAATCTTGTAGCACTGTCGCGAGAGCAGTCAAGTTTTTCTTTCGAATGCACGCTGACGAGCTTCCCGAAAATTTCCAGACGGCCATGAGGAAAGCATTCCTCGGAGATAACCGTTGGAACCGTGGAAGATAACCGTTACGTTGAAAGAAGGACAGCAAGGTGATTAATCGCTTTCGTCAGCGACAAAATCGCCTCTCCCCGCGATCCGACCTTCGCGGGGGCACACCGCGAATCCTTTTCTCCTCTTCACGATCGAAGGTCCTGCATCCTGCGTCCTCGCTTATCTAAAGGCAGAGAGCGCGGCTTATCAGCCGCGCGCCTCGCCGTTATTCGCCGGCAATCACAGCGCGCTCGGTGCGCTGCTGCGGCGAATTTCAAGGACGTCGCGATCGCCGACGCGAGACGCATTCGAGTGCGCCGGGACGGTCTCGCTGCCGACGAGAACTCGCGCGCGCAGGGAGGCGCTCGCCGAACAATCGGGACGCGCGCGAGCGGCGTCGCTTATATTTAAACCGCCACGTAAGTCGCGCGCCGCACCGCTTTGGCTCGCGCTGAGGACGCGACGCCGACGACGCGCCCCCTTCGCCCCCGCGCTCGCGCTCGACGCTCGTAATCGCCGATTAGTAGTACGCGACGTCGCTCGCTCTCTCTCTCTCCTCTCTCTCTCTCTCTCTCTCTCTCTCTCTCTCTCTCTCTCTCTCTCTCTCTCTCTCCTCTCTCTCTCCCCTCTCTCTCCCCTCTCTCTCTCTCTCTCTCTCTCTCTCTCTCTCTCTCTCTTCGTCGCGTCGCGTCGCGTAACGAGTGTGAGTTTTTGAAGGTGGTCCAATTCGCCGACGGTTCAATGCGCTTCCACCTCTCCGTTCTCCCCGAGACCTCTCGGCGTTGCCGGCCGCCAACCGCTCGCCCCCTTGCCCCTTCCCGCGCTTGGTCCGCGGTAACCGCGACGCAGACTCGATGACTTTAGCACGCGACGACCTTCCGCAGTCGATTTATCGTGCCGAACGTGACGAGTGACGAGCGCAGCGCAGCGCAGCGCTGCTCTCTCTCTCTCTCTCTCTCTCTCTCTCTCTCTCTCTCTCTCTCTCTCTCTGTCTCTCCCCCCTTCCTCTCGCGACCTATCTCGCAGTCTCCTCGCAGCAAAGAGACGGCAGCGCGCCGAACGGCTCCGGAGGAGCAGCAAGAGTGTCCTCCAATCGCGGAGAGGAGCCCCGCGAGAGCGCGCGCGCTCTCGCGGGGCTCCTCTCCGCGATCATGCCTCCGAGTTAATTAACTCATTGGCGCTCCGTTCCGTGAAGAATACGTGTTTAGCCGGCGCCCGCAGCCCGGCGGTAATCGCCTCGTCGGCAAATAAGCGAAGTTACACGGAGCGCGTAACTTCAGTCGCTGGGTAAGAAAGAGAGACGGAGTGACGAGAGGCGGAAAGGGAGGGGGAGGAGTACCAACGGGTTAATGCCTCGGAGCTACGACACCACCGATTCATCCCGCGACGTCACCGCGGCGAGGAAGCGGGGGAGAGGCGTGTTACGTGTCGGGATGCGCGGCATTTGCATCTCTAAGGGCCGCGAGGCGTAGAGTCGGTATCGGATTCTAGAGTCAATCAAATATTAGAATAAGGTATCAGAAACAAGAAATACAGGGGTATATAGGTTTAACCGCATGACACCGCGCGCGGGCTGTGGAATCTTTCTTCTGGCAGCCGCCGTGTACCGTGCATGTGTGTGTGTGTGTGTGTGTGTGTGAACAGCGGTAAGCACACTTATCACCTTTTTCTTTTTGATTTTTGCGACGCGCTGTTTACAGTTTAATGAAAATTGCGCTGGAGATGTCGTATTGTTACTTTGCTTACATTGTAGAAATGTATGTGTTAAATTTAACATATTTCGTGTGCCTCAAATCGTCCACTCTCATTTAACATATTTGCTGTAT